TATTGTTCCACGTTAAAGTTCGAGTGGTAGGAAACGTCATTTTTAACTGCTCGAATGATATGATCCATTCAAAAACGGAAAGAGTTAAGATAATAGATGATCGATCAATTTGTTTATTTGTTTATTTGTTATGGTTGCATCAACAGACTAGAAATAGTCCCAATGATGTGTTGTAAAAAAGTACAGATTATACAGACGACATACATATACTACAGTTACTACAGTTACAAACGAAAATAACTTGGAAAGCATTGTCAAGTTACTAAAATTTTATAAGTCTTAAATTTTACACTTAGCTGTTGGGTATCAAGCGCCTTCGGTCGGCAAAAAAGGCAGAGGATCTTCGGCGAAGCATATTCAGTGTCAAGTGGAAATCGAACATCGACGCTACTCGGTTGAACACTAGCTGCAAGCCGTAAATAGCGCTCCCTATGCTATAATTAGTTCGAAGAAGTGGAAGTCTCAGCATAAGACTGTTGCGTAGTGATCGAGGTTGAACATTAATGTTCACTTGTTGCAGAATTGCTTCGCAGTCGATTCTTCCTTGCAGAGTATCGGCGACGGTTAAGGCTCTGAAAACATCTCTTCGGATACGTAAGGGCTCGATATTGATCAATTGGCAGCGATTCTCGTAGCTTGGAAGACGAAGTGGGTATCTCCAAGGCAGCTTACGGAGCGCGAAGCGAAGAAAACGTCGTTGAACAGATTCAATTCGCTCGGCCCCATTATTGTAGTTCGGGCTCCAGACAGCAGAGCAGTATTCCAACGTAGATCGTACGAGAGAGCAATAGAGCGATTTCAAGCAGTAAATGTCCGTGAAGTTCTTAGTAATCTTGAAGACAAAGCCAAGCGTTCTGGACGCTTTGTCGACGACATACGATATATGGTGTGAGTATGTCAGCTTTGAGTCTAGAAAAACGCCTAAGTCTTTCACGCAGTGCACCCGTTCGATAGTCGTGCCTAGTAGTTTGTAGTTGAAAATAATCGGTTGTTTCTTGCGTGAGAAAGTAATAACTGTACACTTAGCTGGGTTGACCACCAGTCGGTTTAGACTACACCAGTCAGCAAAGATGTCAATCTGATTTTGGAGAGAACGGCAGTCGGCGAGTGAGCGGATGCGCAGAAAAACTTTCAGATCGTCTGCAAACGATAATCGTGGCTCTGTGATAACATGGTGAACGTCGTCGAAGTAGAGGAGAAATACCAATGGTCCCAGATGGCTGCCTTGAGGTATACCGGACTTTGCGCAGAAGCTAGCTGAGTGACAAGTACCCAAAGTTACTGTCAATTGGCGCTCCGTGAGGTATGAACGAAACCATCTCAAAAGATTTCCATCGATCCCTAGCCTATCAAGCTTAGCGATCGCAATTTCGTGGTTCAGCTTATCGAAGGCTGCCGTAAGATCTGTGTAAATAACGTCCGTTTGGGTCCGAGCAATCAAACTGTCTGTGATGTAAGACGTTAGGCACAGCAGGTTCGTAGTTGTGGAACGCCCAGTTATGAATCCGTGTTGATCTGTACTTAGATATTGCCTGCAATGCGCATTTAGGGAATCTATGACAACCAATTCAAAAAGTTTTGATACAGCACTCAGCGATGTGATTCCCCGGTAGTTGTTTACGTCGCGTTTGCTTCCCTTTTTATGAACAGGAAACATATCCGCAGTCTTCCAGCAAGACGGAAAGATGCCGCTGGAAAGAAAGAGCTGGAAAATGCGGCGCAGTGGATCTAAAAGACAAGTGATGTTCTTTTTAAGAATAATCGACGGAACACCATCGGGTCCAGCCTTAGTTGAAGTCTTAAGTTTAGATGCTGCTCTTAAATCGTATCTGTAGTGGCTTCGACCATGCTGAGCGTTTGGTTGATCAAAGGAACATTACTGGCCGCGGAAGTAATGATATTAGCGGAGAGTTGCTCGGCTACAAACACACTAGCAAATTTGGCTGAGAACAGGTTACAAATGTCTTGTTGATTTCCAGCAGTTTTACCATGAAAAATCATGGAAGAGGGTAAGCCGACTTCCCTGCGTTGCTCATTTACGAAGTTCCAGAAGGATTTCGGGTGTGATTTTAGCCGCCGTTGAATCCTCCTTTGATAGCGTTGAAAACAGAGACGACTTAACCGCTTATACTCGTGGTTGAGTCTGACATAGTAGCGTTTCAGTGGCAGTGTGCGGAGTTTAGTAAATCTTCTGAGAGCAGCCTTCTTAGTTCTTTTCAACGAGCGAAGATCTTTCGTCATCCACGGGACGCGAGAGTCGATATGGATGATCTTTTTGGAAACGTGTCTGTCAATGACATATGCCAAGACGTGAGAAAAGGTTTGTGCAGCAATGTTGACGTCTACAGGATCTAGAATATGCTCCCAATCTAGATTAGACAGCACATGGACGATACTGCAATGGTCAGCTCTACGGAAGTCATATGACACAGCGTTTGGAGTGCTGGTGAAATCATGGACAATATTATTTTCGATCACGATAACTAAAGCAGGGTGATGATGCACTACCTTGACTAAAGGTTCGGGTGCCGTGGAGAGGAAAGGAGCTGTATCACGAGCACTCACAAAGCAGAGATCCAGGGTGCGGTTGTTTTCATTCAACAGGCCATTGATTTGTGACAGAATTGCGGTACTATAACTGTCCAGGAGCTGGATGGTTCCTACGTGGAAAGATGAACGCTCGTGATCAGGACAAAAGAAACCACTATGGGTTGGAGTCCATGCAATGTCCGGTAGGTTAAAATCGCCAAGAACAATAACTTCGTCGGAAGGGCCTGCTTTGTCTGAAGCGGCCAAGACGGATCGACAATGTGCGTCAATAAGCTCCAAGTCACGGGTTCGATCTGGAGGAATGTACACTGCACAGAGAAGCAATTGACGATCACCAAGTTGAATAGCCACCCACATTTGTTCAACCCTGTTCCAGGAATCGTCCTCGATAACTTCTGCTTTCAGCTTGGAATTAACTGCGATAAGGACGCCTCCCCCAGTAGTTTTCCTACTATTATTCGTGTTTCGATCGCAGCGAAATATTTCGTAGCCAGCCCCAAAGACATAGTTTGAAATGGTTCGATAATTGAGCCATGTTTCGGTCAAAACTAAAATGTCGTAGCAGTGATCCATGACGGCCAGATGATAATCTTCCACGAGGCCGTTCATACCACCAACGTTCTGATAGTAAATCGTTATGTCCGACCTCCGCTGTTCGGGAACAACGGAAGGTTCAGCGTGTAGTTGCATTTGGGAGCTGGTAGATGTCACTTGACGGAAGAAGGATGTTCGAGTAGGGTCGCTGGAAACCAAGATATTTTCAGGCGATAATATATTCGTCGGTTGATCATACTTGCCAATAACAGGAATGTGGAACGTTAAACGAACTAAATGCTCTTCACATTTGTGCCGTCCACTAGCGGTCCTACGTCAAGCTTCCGTTCGTGCCCCTAGGCACAGACCCTTCTACTATTTCTGACGCTTCCGAAGAGACGTACGTAGCGATTGTGTTTGCTTGAAGCGAAAACAAAGGTAGCTTCTGTGCGACAGGTTCCTCTGCTACGTCTCGAACTCAACGCAGTTGCACTACTAGCGAAGCTGATGAAGCTTACAGGTAGACCAGTAGGCCTGGACTGATTCCACCATAGTCGTGCAGTGGCTCTCAGGACATCCTAGCAAATGGAATACTTACGTGGCTAATAAAACATATTCGATACTTGAGATCCTTCCGCGTAAGCATTGGGTATCGATCATTCACTGTGGTGGTCAGGTTCAAAGTGGTTGGTGGAAGTTTCCGCAACCTGATCATCATCAGAATTCTGTGTCTTCGTTCCAGGTTCTTGAAAATTTCTTCAAATAAAATTATTTTTAAGTTCTTCGGCATCTGTCTGTTATATCTCATATTAGATCCTGATATAAAGTATAGGTACGGATTATTTCCTCGAAATACCAGGAACATGTTCTGGTGTGGCCGATGGAGCCTGGGTACTCAATATGACAGTTCCTTTGATTTTAACATCATCATCACAGAATTCTGAAGCTCTACTTTTGACATATCGAGTTATAGAATCAAAATAACACTATTTATATCATCGACCAAAGGAGACATCGACTTGTAACAAGAATATCGACTTATGAAGAGCACGATATATGAGAAAATTAAGGGACCGCAAAATCCATCGAGTTATAGAAAATATCGAGTCTGTGGGGAGTTGACTGTATTACAGCTTTCCCCCGAAGAACGCGTTACCCACTGAGTTGCACCCACCGCTTTGTCTCGGTGGGTTTTCAACCATGCGCTCTGATTTTCTGCGAGTCACTACCCGAGCAAAGTCTGAGATCAAATTGAAATCTAAATTTGATGTTGTGATTTCGCTGATAATGATTACTCAGGTTGTTGTCGTTTTGGTCGTTTTAACGGTTAAAATATCAAAATTGAGAGCAAACATATCTTCCTGTGACATCACATAGAAAACTATTTCTGCTAATCAGTGAGAGCAAACTGAAAACCAAATTTGCTATCCATTTTTCCTGTTGATAACAAAACAAGTATTCAATTTGATGTAATGCTAAGGTAATGAAAACAAACCCGTAACAACATATTTTTAAAGAGCAAATGCACAGCAAAATAAAATCTAAATTTGGTATCAAATTTGTCAATGTGTAAACTGAAATCAAATTATGATTTCAGTTTGATGTTGATATCAAAATTTGATTTCAATTTGCTGTCATTTTGATGCTGGACTTTGCTCGGGTAGCGCTCCATTGACCCTACTCACATGCAAAAAATCAGACCGCCTGGTTGAAACTCCGCCGAGAAAAAGCGGTGGGGGCAACTCAGTGGGTACACCCTATTCAAAGGTTTTTAGTGTGCCCGCGCTAACACCCATCCACCCGGTTTTCGGCCTTTCGTAGTAATTCCGTAATTTATGGTTTAATCATTAATACAATATGCAGCCAAACAATCCTGTAAATTCAAAACTCCTTTTGCATTGTTTTTATTTTTGCAGGTCCCCAAAGCTACAGCTCCTCGTTCGTTATCGCTGAAACGGGCACCTGGTCCCATAGGATCTTCGAAAAAACTGCCCCTAGAAGAGAAGCGAATCTTTCTATACGATTCAGAACAGCACTTGAAAACCCTCATAAATCCCGATCCATTCGCTGCGACAACGACATGCGATCCATTCCTGACGGCCACGATGTACCTGGACGAGAGGGCCTTCGAAAAGCACGAACGACAGCTGAAGAAATGGCTCAACGCACTGGTGACGATCCCGGCTGATTTGGACACTGAACCCAACAAACCACTGGACGTGGGCAAGTTGTTCGATGAAGTCAAGTGTAAAGAACTGACGCTAGCTCCTACGAAGGAGTTGATCTCTTCTAATTATTACAAAAATCGACTGAACCAGCTGAGAAGCACTGGCATTTCGCTCTATCTTAGTGAAAAGGTCGCCGAACCGCTACGTAAGGCACGCTCTGCTATCGAAAAGAAATCAATGACACTGAGGACGGATCGTGACCTGCATCTGGATTTGGTCCTGCAGCGAAATGTTTTGGAACTGTTGCTTTGTTTCAATCCGCTATGGTTGAGACTGGGCTTGGAAGTTACCTTCGGGGAGCAGATAGATCTACAGTCCAACCGTGATGTGATCGGACTGAGTACATTCATCATCAATCGGCTTTTCCGGGATCGGTATATGGAGATGAAAAATTCAAAAGCATATAGTTTATCTCCCACCTACGCAGATCACATGAAAAAGTTTACCTTTCGAATGTTTCTGTTTCTGCTATTTTTCCTGGATACGGCCAAGAATCAACGTTTGATCAAGCACAATCCCTGTCTGTTTGTGAAGAATGCACCGTACAAGGAAACGCGGGAGATCTTGATAAGATTTTCGTCCCACCTGATTGCCGGCATCGGCGACATAACGAAGCATCTGAAACGCTTCGGATACGTTCTCACCCATAAGCAGACTTATTTGGATGAGTTTGATTATGCTTTCGAAAATTTAGCGGTCGATCTACGGGATGGAATCCGGTTAACCCGTGTGATGGAGATTATTTTGCTGCGAGATGATTTGACACTGAGCTTGCGCGTGCCTTCGATATCTCGCCTGCAAAAAGTGCACAACGTTAATTTGGCACTGAAAGCACTCGAGGATGCGGATTATCAGATCACCGGGGATATCACTGCCAAGGATATCTGCGATGGTCATCGAGAAAAAACGCTTTCGTTGTTGTGGCAGATCGTGTACAAATTCCGTGCTCCGAAGTTCAACGCGGCGGCTAACGTGATACGCAATTGGTGGAAGCGGAATTGGATGAAGGTGGTTATCGCTAGGAGAATCGAGGAGAAAAGGAGAAAGAAGATGGAGTTGGCTGCTGTGAAGATACAGGCAAGATATCGTGCATTCCGCACGAGGCAGTGCTTCCGGCGAATGCGTGAGACGAAGCAGAAGGCGGTGGTGATTTTGCAGAAATATACTCGCAGGTGAGTTTTCGGAACATACCGGAGATGTTCTTTAGACCGGTAATTGTGGTTCATTTCAAAGCAATGTTATATAGCAATTTCATAAAAATATAATTGAGCTTCAAGAACTTACGAAACTAAAAACCTCGGACCCATCTTGCTCCATCTTACTTTACATACAGTTTTATGCTCCGAGTTTCCAATCGTTAGTCGGTTTTCGTTGCCTGGATCTAACCGATTTTTCCGCTCTGTATTTACCTTCATTGATTGCTTCCTGTACGATTTAATTGTTTTCGCTGGTTTCTACAACTACATTACCGCCATATTGGCAGACTCTATAGATAATCTACAAATTCGAAAAATCTGCCGAAGATTGAAATTTATAGAAACCGCCATTCGTTGCGTAGAAGTTGCTAATTTTTTGTTTAATTTGATCTATCCCGCAGGTACCTCGCCCAAAAACACACAGCCCAACGCTATTCATCGATCCTACGCATCCAGCGTTGGTGGCGTTCGGTGCAGCTAATGAAGTCAGCTCGCGAGCATTTCCTGCAGCAACGTCATTCCGCCATCCTGATCCAAACCACTTTCCGACGGCATCTGCTGGCACGGCGCCTACTGGCGGCGTCGGTTGTGATTGGAGAAATCAAAACCCTAGCCCGGCTCCATCACCAGAAGGCACTGGTCCTGCAGCGGGCTCTCAAGTCCTACACCATCCACCGGAAGCTGCAATCGATCGTGATAGGAATGGTGGCGTTCAACAGACGGAAAGCCATCAAGTATCAATGCGCCGCCAGGATTCAAGCGACGGTTAGAATGTGGAAGGAGCGCAGACAATTTCTGATGATAAAGGAAGCTACTGTTAGAATTCAGTTGCGTTGGAAAGAGTGTTTGCTGGCCAGAAGACAGAGGGAGAAGTTTTTGGAAATGCGGACAAGTGCAATTGTCATTCAGCAGAGGGTTCGAGGGTACTTTTTGATGAAGGAAACGAAGACTGTGTATGAAAGGGAGCGTCGTAGTATTATCTTTGTTCAGAACAAGTTTAGAGCCAAATTGGGAATGAGACGTGCCAGGAAAGAATATTTGCAGTTGAAGCATGCAGCAGTTAGCGTTCAACGAAGATTTAGGGCTCTAGTAGCGATGAGGAAGCAGAGAAGCGAATATCTACAATTGAAACTAGCAACGTTGGTGATTCAGCAGAGATTGCGCGCACAAAATGCCATGCGATTAGAACGACGGCGATTTGTGGCAATGAGAGCTTCAGCAATCATAGTTCAACGAAAATTCCGAGCTCTAGTTGCAATGCGGGTAGCTCACGATCGCTATCAACTGATGCGGTCCTCTTGCATTACGATTCAACGGCGGCTACGGGCAACTATTCTGATGAAGCAACAAAGGATCGAGTTCCTTACGTTGCAGTATCACGCAATCATTGTGCAGCAACAGTTCCGTGCTAATCTACTGTCGAGAAGTCAACGGCAGAAATATCTTAATCTCAAATCAGCTGCGATCTGTGTTCAAAGGAAAGTGCGAGCCACTAATCTCGCTAGACGGATGCAGCGTTCCTATCGGGAACAGCGTCAAGCAGCCATCAATATTCAACGCTACTGGAGAGCTGTTCAACTAAAGCGAAAGACTCGGAAAGACTATTTGCAGAAACGCCTGGCTGCTGTTACGATACAAAGATGTTATCGAGGCCACCTGTTGACCACACAGATTCGTCAAGACTTTGTAAGCATACGAGCTGCGGCGATCCGAGTGCAGCAGCAATATCGTGCCATAAAATTGATGCAAACGCAACGTCAGAATTACGAGAAAATGATCCACGCTGCCGTTGCGCTGCAACGTCGGTACCGTGCTAAACAATTGGGTCAACAGCAGAAGACCGAATATGTCGAGCTGAAGGAAGCAACCATTTGTGTTCAACGGCGCTGGCGAGCGGTTCTTGCTATGAAAACAGCTCGCGCGGAATATCTAACGATTAGAAAAAGTACTATCGTCATCCAGAACCGCTTCCGTGGTTTGCAGCTTATGCGATCGACCCGGGCAGAGTATGTCCATACTAGAACGGCAATCATACTCATTCAACGGCAATATCGGGCCAAACGCAAAATGGAGCGAGCCTGCGGTCAGTATTTGAACATGAAAAGTGCAACGATAGTTATACAACAGTATTTCCGTGGTTATTTGGAAATGAAGCGCCAAAAAGCTTCGTTCACCGAGCTCCGTTCGGCAACACTGTGTCTACAGGCAAGATTCCGAGCACTGAGGCAGATGAAGCTGCAAAAGACACTCTATTTGAAGCAAAGGACCTCAGCCATCTGTATTCAACGCTATTTCCGAGGGTATCTTGCGATGAGTCATCAACGTAGAGAGTTCCTACAGATGAAGCAAGCATGCGTTGTTCTTCAGTCTAGATATAGAGCTAGGCTCGCTACGTTGGATGCAAGGCATAAGTTTGAAACGCTTAGATCAGCAACTGTAACGATCCAGCGCAGATGGAGAGCAACTCTGGCAATGAGAGAGCAACGTAGCACATATCAAGCCATTCTGCAAGCATCTCTTACCATTCAGATTCGCTACCGAGCGTACAAGCTACGTCTATTCGATCAGCTCAACTATCGAGTTTACAGAAGTGCTATTATCGTCGTTCAAAGACGCTTCCGTGCCAAACTCATCACCCGTGTCGAACAAAAACGCTTCCATCAACTCAAAGTGACCACACTTCATCTTCAGACACGAGCCCGTGGTTATCTAGCTCGCCAAGCATTCCTTCAAAAATTGACCCCCGAATACTTGGAACGGCGCAAGCGTGAACAAGCAGCCAAACGGATACAAGCCTGCTGGCGTGGTTATCAGCATCGCAAGCGTCACCAGACTGTTACCATGCGTGATATTGCATTGCGTATGATCGCCAGCCGACGGGAAGCCGCTAGGGATCCTTCGAAACGGTTAAGCAATATTTTGCGATCCTGTATGAAGTTCATGAAGACACGCTTTGCGGTCCACGAGGCCATTAAGGTTCTGCTGCGGATCGAGCAAATTTCCCGATTGTTACCACGTTTGCTGCAGAACGATGCGATTTTCCTGGCCACCTTCTGTTATGGCACCATGGCACAAGCTATCAGATCCGAGCTAGATAAACAGTTGATTGAGATTTGTGCGCGTATTATTCTGAATTTGGCACGGTTTGAAGGAACGAAGCAGGATGCATTCCAGGTAGGATTGCGATTTAATCTCTAACTTGCGTTCTTAGGAGTCTAACGATGGTTTACAATTTCAGGAAAACGGTCTGGTAACGGTGTCACAAATGCTACTACGATGGTGTGATAAGGATTGTGGCATTTTCAACACCCTTTGCACGTTGCTCTGGATTATTTCGCATGACACGCATAAAAGAAACGTAAGTAACCAAACAAGAATCTGTATATTCAAATAGCGAATTTGTTTACTATCCAGGTTGGAACCAGTTCCAACTATAGTCGCTCTATTCATAGTCTGGCGGATAGGATCTCGGGAACCAATTGAGCTGTCAAATAGCGGAACCAATCGAGCAAATCACGACCAACAACAGAAAAGAGGAGTTGGTTGGAAATGCTAACATGAAGCTTTAGTGTGATAATTTATTAGCTAGAGAATGATCTTTTAGAAGAGAGTAGGTGGATAGTTCCGTTAGAGTACGGCAGTATGAAAATTTAATAGAAGTTGAAAATGAGCGAAGGGCCATTAATGCGACAGGTTTCAAAGACTTGGAGACATACTTCAAGTCTCCGCGTACATCGTACGGGTTAGGCAAAAGATGTGCGTCTATCTGCTTCTGGTATTAGAAGCGGGTAGGTGGATAGTTCCGTTAGAGTAACGCAGTATGAAAATTTAATAGAAGTTGAAAATGAGCGAAGGGTCATTAATGCGACAGTACAAAGTCAAACGCACACTTCGCACTAGCTAATAAATTATCACACTAAAGCTTCATGTTAGATAGCATTTTCAACCAACACTGAAGAATCTGTAATTTATTTGAGAAACCGCATAAGTCCCATTTTACCAGTTTTTGGAGGCGTTTGGATTATTATTATAGGGGAAATGGCTCTAATGTTGGCCTATGGATCTCAGATTTGGGCCCATCGCTAAAAATCTGCTATTTATCAATTTTATCTAGATGATCGCGTCATTGGGACGGTACTAATGGATATTTTTGGTCGCTATTGAAAATTTAGTCGATTGCTGAATTTATGTATGGGCCCTAATTAGGGACATTTAGGCCGACATTACATCCATTTCCCCTACCTCTCCTAAAAGTATCCGACATGTTGAATGAGAGAAACTATTCTAGATTAGACTCCACAATATTAATTTGTAGAACAACCACATAGGTCCTCGGTTCGGTTTGTTGCTGTTTTCCAGCATTTGTATCAAATAAGTGATCCATTTATTTTTCATTCATGATCAACTTTCCCTCAACAGGCAATCCGACGGTATATGATTTCCCGCGAGGCCATCTTCATGCTCCGAGAAACGAAAAAGCTCGTAAAGCGCAAGGAAAACATGCGCAAAAATGTTAAGAAGCCGGTGGGTTGTCTTGCGCCACCGGATCCAACGTTGATGAGCATGGAACCGGCACTGGATCCTGACTACGGCGTAATCCGCAGCAAACCATACGTTTTCTACTCGTCGGTCTTTGCCTTCGATACGGTACTAAACGTACTGAGCGTGGACATCTCATAGGCGATGTGGAATTCGTGATCTAGCACGTGCCACAGCAACCGAATAATGTTGATGATTTGTTAAAGGATATCGAGGAACTTTACGATTTCTAATCACCTCACACATGTAACCAAGCAACCGTAATTGTTTCGAAATAAATTTTTCTTTAGTTTTAGAAACTCAACTTATTGTTTTCTTTATGTATGACAAACTATGAGTATGAGCATTATTTGTAAAGGTTCCAGTCATTTTTTCAGTGCCATAAACTCTATTTTTATGTTAAGGGGAGGAGGGGCATAGTGAACATCCCGCAGTTTGGGATCTCTAGCTTCATGAAACAAATCAACTGGAAGCAGGTTTAATATTATTATCATATTGATCCTACCACCAACCAATTTGTTACAAACGGCCGGAAGACCAAGCTGGTGCACGGGGTGCTCACTATGCCCCATCTGTTCACTATGCCCCTCTTACCCCTAAGTAACATTCAGTTTTGAATGTTAATAACATTTGTTACATGCGACCAGGTACACCTGATTTCTTTTTTTTTTTTTGCAGCAACAAAATGCTAATAACACAGACAAACAGACATAACAGATTGAATATTTCTCACTGTAAAACATCGTCGCTGAAACATTAGCGCCATCTGTTGAGCACACTGTGGTGGGTAGTACGCTGAACAGATGGCGGTAGTGTGTAAATGTCAAACGCAAGGAAAATGACTGCGCGCCACAGGTGGCGGTACTACCAACTACGATACTTTTAAATTGACCGTTAAATGCTTATTCGATGAACAACTTGAGAGTGTTATGTCTGTTTGTCTGTGCTAATAACTTTTCAGGATCGGATAGTCTTTTAATCTCCGACATAGTTGTTGAGCATATACTTTCCTCATAGACAAACAGACATAACACATTGAATATTTCTCACTGTAAAACATCGTCGCTAAAACATTACCGCCATCTGTTGAGTATACTGTGGTGGGCATTCTGCGCTGCGAGCGAGGTGAGGTGACTCGCTGTCACTAGTGAGGTGACAAAAGTCACCGCGAGTGAGGTGACTCTCCCTTTGATTTCCACGGAGAGTCACGTCACTAGTGACAGTGAGTCACCTCACCTCACTCGCGGCACAGAATTAAGGGGAGTGTGTAAACGCAATGGAATTGGGGATTATTACGGATGTCACTTCACGGTGAAAACTTGTCACTTGTCATCACGGTCAAGTGATTTCACAGCTCTTATTCTGAGTATCACTTCCTTATCATCGTGTAGTGACACCCGTTATAAGGCCCATTGACTATGCGCGCTACAGGTGGCGGTACCAACTACGACACTTTTAAATTGACCTTTTAAATTCTTGTTCGATGAACAACTTGCGAGTGTTAAGTCAGTTTGTCTTTGCTTTCCTGTTAGGGTATTTGGTTTAGTGATCCTTGCACCGTTTGCAACGCCACCTATCGACCAAACTTTGAAAATGGTTGTTTTCTATACAACCTTCAACTCCTAAAAAACTAGCTTCAAATAGGTAAATGTTGACCGATTTGGCTTAAATTTTAGGATTGCATAGAAAACTCTTGGGAAAGGCAGAAAAACGAGCTACTCTTCACAGTAGAAGAAACAGAGGTGAAGTATTTTTATTCAAGCATTTAACTAACGGCTACTAAGATTGCAATTCGGTCTGAACGTCTACTACATTCTCTCAACACTCCTCCTCTGTCAGATCCGGATTGATTACCAGGCCTAGAGATAAAGATAAAGATAGAGATAGAGATAGAAATTAAAGAGTAAGAAGCCAATTGTCACCTCTTCCTCTTAGGTCTAGACTAGCTCCTTGCATCCTTCTGCGAGCCCCACGAACTCCGCTTCGGTCGAACTTAACGCTACGCACGATTACTTCCGAAAGCCCCAAGAGACTGGTCCACCGGTGGGAGTACTACGAAAGGCCGAAAAGCTCGGGAAACCGAAAAAGTGGACCGGTGCGATCGCGCTCGCACCGGTCCACTTTGTCACTTTCCCGATTCGGGCGTTTGTCAATTTGTTGTTAATAAATTAAATTACATTATTGAAGTAAAGTTAAAATGATTATTATTCTGCATCTTCGAAATAAAATATAATGGAAGCTACTTTTTTTTTTCCTTGATTTGTTTTCCATCGATCTTGTTTTCCGTGCTGAGAACCAATGCCACCGATATCAATGAGGCAGCTCCCACACCTGGACCCTACCTATCGACCCATCACATCAACTCATGAACCGGGGACCAACGGCTTTACTTCCCTTCCGAAGGAAATCCCGGCGGCGCCGACTGGGATTGAACCCAGGCCTGCTGGGTTGAGAAATAATCACGCTTACCACTACACCACCGGCGCCGCTAATGGAAGCTACTTAACAGCCATTCGGGTAGCTTTAGTTTTATGTTTGTTTGAGTGTTTAACGACGATTTAATGACAAGATGGCTTCGTTTTTTGTGAATGCGGACAATTCAACGAGGTGACTCAGTTGTAAGAGCAGAAAGGCTTCAGATGCTGAATGAGAGAGAAAGTGATAGTTAGCTTTATTTTTCCAGATATTTGAGTAGGCATTGACGATGATGGCTTCGTTCAAGATGAAATTCAATATGGGAGGTATTCTCAAATCGAAAATCGTCATTAGCAGCGATAGTTCTCTTGGTTTGTTTTGCTGAACGTTCTAGTTACACACATTCAACTGCTTGCGCAATTCGCTACTCAATCAAGGTGTGCTTTCACCTCTTTTATGGTCTTTAATTGTTGACGAACTTCTCAAAAACTTAGAAGCAAAGGGCTTCGAGATAATTGGCTTTGCTGATGACATAGTCATAATAGTACGAGGAAAATTTGATAATATCATTTCAAATAGAATGCAAACTGCTTTAAATTATGTTTCGTCGTGGTGCGCTAAAGAAGGGTTGAATATAAACCCTCCTAAGACCGCTATTGTACCGTTCACACGGAAAAGGAAAATTTTCTATAAATAACTTAAAATTGAAAGAAACCTCTTTAGAACTTTCACGAACAGTCAAGTATCTGGGAGTCATTCTTGACAGTAAACTTAACTGGAATTCACATATAGAGCAGGTTGTTAATAAGGCAATAAATGCTCTTTGGATAAGTAAAAAAACATTTGGTAGGAAATGGGGCCTAAAACCAAAAATGATCAACTGGATTTATTTGACGATTGTAAGACCCAGAATATCCTACGCATCATTAGTTTGGTGGCCGAAAACTAATGAAAAATCGGCTCAGAAGAAGCTGGGGAGACTGCAAAGACTAGCTCCTCTCTCAATAACTGGTGCAATGAACAGCACACCGAGTATTTCACTAGATGCTCTACTTTATCTGATTCCGTTGCATCAATTTATCCAATTAGAAGCTGAAAGGAGCGCTTTAAGGATTCAACGAACAAAGTACTTCCTTGAAGGTGATCTTACAGGACACCTTAGCATTTAAAAAATGTTTGATATTGATTCTCTTGTATTAAAAAATGAAGACTGGATGGAGAAAAAAAATATAATTTCGATCGTTTATACAATGCAGCAGAATTTGATCGTAATGTTTGGGAAAGTGGGGGACCAAACATCCGTCCAGGTTCAACTGTTTTTTATACAGGCGGTTCAAGATTGAACAACCGTGTGGGAGCAGGGGTAACTGGTCCAGGGATTGATATCTCAATATCCATGGGTTACTGGCCAACCGTGTTCCAAGCAGAGATTCAAGCAATTCTTGAATGCTCTGTAATATGCTTGCGCAGGAATTATAAACATTCGAATATCTGCATTATATCTCATAGTCAAGCAGCATTAAATGCTTTAAAATCAGCAACATACAATTCCAAACTCGTATGGGAATGTGCAATAGAGATTGCTGACGTTTATCGTACGCACACCATGTCACGTATACGTATACGCAAAATGTTTTCATCGGGAAAAAAACTTCATAGCGGAAAATTTTCCCGATGAAAACAAATCACTGACACAATCATACTTTAGCAATCTCTATGTCACTTCAGAAATTGGCCTGTCAAAACCAAGTAAACTTATATTGGCCACCTGGGTCATAGGACCAGAACCATTCTGTGGAGTTTCTACTTGTTCTCTTAAAATGGAGATCAAGAAATGGAAAAAAAAATGAAAGTGGAGACCAATAGGAACAACACTTCCATTGCTAGGCAGTCGAAACGGTTCATAATTCCGAACATTTCAATGACTAGCAAAATTCTTGAATCATCAAAGAAAGATCTCAGTGTCTATACTGGTTTGATAACAGGACATTGTCCATGTAAATATCATTTGAAGCTAATAGGAAAACTTCAAGAGGATATGTGTCGATTCTGTGGTATAGAAAAGGAAGACTCTGAACACCTTCTATGCTCTTGTGCAGCAGTCTTCAATAAAAGGCGTATTTTTCTGGATAAGGGGCTGGCAGAACCCTTTGATATTTGGAATGCAGGTCCCAGTAAAGTAGTACATTTCATTCGAAATATAATACCTGGCTGGGAAAATGCTTTTGGTCAGTCTATGTCGGTCGCTTCACAAAATAGTGATACGACATAACTGATAAAGCAATATAAAAACGGGGAATATCACAATAGATCAAAGTAATGGTCACAGCGATGAATAAAAAAAAAAAAAACGCCAAATCAAAATGTTGTGTATACGTAAATAAACCATTCACCTCTATCGCATCTCTAATTTCCTTACGCATCCCTTACCCGCAGCTTACCACTTACTGGTTTTTTACAAAAAGTCAGCAAGTGAGAACACCTCTATATCTAATTTCATCTTGGCTTAATTTTTTGTGAATGCAAACCATTAAATTTTAACGAGCCGAGTCAGTTGTGCGAGCAGAAATGCTAACAGATGCGGTATTCAACAAATTCGGTTTTATAAATTTTCGACCATTCTGGCTTTCGGCCTTCTCGATATTCAGCCTTTTGTGGTACCTTAGAATATTTTCGGCCTTTTTTGCTTCTGTCTTTTGTGATTCGGCCTTCTGTACGTGTCCCAAATTAACATGCATATAAGGCAATGCAGATGATCCAGAATGCAGATTTAGGTGGAAGGATATGTTTTGAGCCTGAAATTGAAACTTTAGACTAAAAGCGAAGACAACAAATCAAGAAGACTGGCAACTCTTCCATTTTCTCATACGAACGCTATGAGACAGGTAGTATCGCGTCATCTGCCGCTCAAAGGTAAATGCTTCGAACGATTTGAAGATTACATCCTCAGAAGAAAGGTTTGTTTATTTGCTCATTTTTCTATGCGTTGTTTCCACCTTCACTCAAGCGCAGCGCTATTGTATCTGTCGCTTGGATTCTGGCAAAGTTGCCAGTCTTCTTGATATGATGTCTTCGCTAAAAGTCTCTCATACAAAGTTGTTCCAAATAGTAAGGCCCTCATTTTTATGAATATGAGTTCTAGGGTGGGAAATGGGAGACGAGTTTGTTTTCCGAGAGCACATGACGCAATTGCCAATCGTTGATTCATTGAACTCGATCCCTGTAGCAATGCTAATCTTGATGAGCTTAAGGCTGCGAACGTTGAAATGACCCATTCTCCTGTGCCAGACATCCAAATTTACTGGTATTGATACAAGCGTTAGGGTCTTTTGAGCATCACGCTCCTCGCACTTCCTCGTGTCAATTGCTGACAGGGTTCCATCTTGATTCGGAATCAGCTTCACCGCTTCCCATAGCTCTTCTAGCATGAGGTACGTCTCTACGGCGAACTTCCACGTGCACCAGTTCTCACGACCATTTAATCGCTCGATTGGTGCACGAAACGAAAATCAATTATTTTATTCATGTGTTTAACTTATACATTTTTGCCAAACATCAGCCTTATACATTCCATAAGGCAAACCACATAGGTCGTATATGAATGCATAAAAGGTATGTGTGACCGCTTATACATTTCATTTGACATATGATTTTCATTAACTTTTTGCAAGGTGTTTGCTTATAAGTTGACTTATACATTTTATTAATAATCAGCAATAGAAATTTGCCAAAAGGTATAAGGAGATTTCTATCCGTGTGGAAGGCTTGAAAGTTTCTGGGTTCGCTGCGGGATTGCTTGAGAAACTCCTGCTTCGGTGGAAGAAACAGGAGTGAAGTATTTTTATTCAAGTACATATTTAAATAATGGCTACTGCGATATCCGTTCGGTCTGAACGTGTACTATATGCTCTCAACAAAAACAAGTGGTATTATAACGAGGGGGAGGGCCATGTTTCCGTCACCCTAGTGACACCTAAAGTTAGAAAAATGCCATATTTAATAAGAAAAACCTTAACGAATTTCAATAAAATCACCGTAAATGAGTGTCGAAATGAGTATATATTTTGAAAACTTTGAATTTCGGTTTAAACATTATTGAGTTACTGATGATTGTATGCGGTCACTTACCCAAAATTGGCTTTTTAACAATAACTTTAAATTTTGTGGGTGTTAGAACAATTGCAAATATGATTTCATTGTGTACTCGACTAGACTAAGAACAAATATTTATAGACTAGACTAAGAACAATATGATCCACTCTTTCCTTTAGCTGGCGAACCAAATGTTTAGTGATGAAAGCGCCTCGGCGGCCAAAAAGGCTACCTAAGTATTTGTTCGTCTTCGCGACAGGTAAACCAAATGAAAATTTTGTATAATATTTTTAATTGATGTATTTCAGCATATTATTTTATTTAATGACAACAGGGACGTGTAATATACAAAATGTAGTTAATGAAACAAATTAGACTTTAATCACAGACAAGCAGACATAACAAAGTGAATATTTCTCACTGTAAAACACCATCGCTAAAACATTACCGCCATCTGTTGAGTACACTGTGGTAGGCAGTACGCTGAACGACGGTAGTGTGTAAACGGCAAACGCAAGGGAATTAACTATGCGTGCCACAGATGGCGGTACTACCAACCACGATACTTTAAAATTGATTGGTAAATGCTTGTTCGATGACAACTTGCGGGAGTTATGTATGTTTGTCTGTGCTTCTATGTTTGTAAGAAGTACTATATCCTCGCCCCTCGATTGTGATAAGATGAATGTTGCTGTCGTTGTTCAAAGTTAGATGGTGCTCGGGTCGGTGCTGTAAAGTATGGAAATGGCATGAATGGAACATATTGTTTATATGATATATTTGCTAACAACCTACAACAGATCACTTGAAAAAATTTTATGTCGTGTAATACCGTGTCAAAAGTGTACCCTACACGACAATTTTTTTTGACAATAATCGTATTGTCAATACATTATATATTGACGTGAATACATCGATATTGACAATATTTATGTATTCACATCATCAATATTATTGTCAATACTTATCATTATTGACAATATTTCTTACCGTGTGGGGTTCGCTAAACTTCAGCTATCAAATCATGAAGACTACCAACGTTTATAATGCTTTTAATAAGTCAATTACTCAGATCAAACACAATAAAGTTTTTAAGCATCTTTATTCAGATGTACACACCTCCACGCATTTAACGATCAATTTAAATGATTTTTAGTTGGTAGTACCGTCACCTGTGGCGCGCATAGTCAATTCTTTTGAGTTTGACGTTTACACACTACTGCCATCTGTTCAATGTACTGCCCATCACAGTATACTCAACAAATGGCGGTAGTGTTTTATCGACGATGTTTTATGTTCAAAATATTCAATGTGTATGTCTGTTTGCCTGTGCTGATTCGATAGATATGCTTATTTGTGGCTCTGAACTGTTTGCTGTGTTGAAATCATCTCAGCTACAACTTTTTCAATAAAGCATGTGGTCTTGGTCTCCTCTTTCAAAAATAAAAATTAAATTTATGACTATCAATTAATTTTACGACCACCCTTATTTTAAAAACGTAAAAAAAAGAAGCTTTTTTATTAAAAAAAAGCATACCAATTTCACCAAATGTCTAATACTTAAGAAAAAATCAAAAAGCATGAGAGCTTTTGTCTTGTTAAATTTCCATCATGGACCAGTGAGCATTGTCCTTATAATTATTTCGCAAAGTGTAAATGGATTTGAACTGAATGTTACGCCTAAATGTAGGCACCAGCTCTAACTTGTCTTCTATATTATAAACAGAGGGCTATCAACTCGAGGCAAGAGTTTCACTCTGTGGTACAATCAATGGTGTTAAAAGATGAGCTTAAAAGGATTTTATATTTCCCTATTTATGCCTAACTATTGCGGTGGCTTTTTACTATTTTATACGACAGATGTCTACTACCTTGCTTCAGAAGGGATTTTGACAAGCACTGTTGAATACAATATGCGGAGCACAACCATTCGCTTATCGATGAAAGTATAAAATATTTATTAAAAATTGAATAACTTATAGAGGTAGAAACACCTGCACTAATAAATATGTATAAATAATTCACTGAATATGTCGGGTCCTCCGAAAAATAGCACCCAGCGGAAACCAAGACTTTCTAAAAGCCCATGAATGCATCCAGATAGCTGATGAAATCTGATACCGAACCCGGCGGAAATTGTTTAAGCTGTCCAAAGTCGCTCTCCGCAAGGGTTTGTGCCAATGTCGATGGAGTACAGTACATTAGATAGCCCTCCTTGGACAACTGATCCGCCAGTTCGGTTTGATGATTGTCCATCAGCCTTTCGTTTACCACCACTACCAGCGGCTTCTCGGCTCCAAGCACTTCGATACAACTTCCAGCACCAGCGTGACTGATGACCAAATCTGCCTGCTTAATGTCCTCAGCGATGCTGGTTTTGAGATCGAAAAATGTCACATCGATATCGTTTCCGAAAATTTCCTTCACTATTTTGGGATCTTTGCCACGTCCTATCTGGAGAATCAGCTTCCGGCAACCCATCCGGCGCAGCTCATTCACCACTGAGCTGTCAATGACCGAATCAATCAGTTCCTCAAATTGAGTAGATCCGACAGTCACAAAGACTCGCTCGAAAGTTGGCTTTTTCATTTCTGGTCTGTGAGATTGAAGCCGCACTGTAATTCAAATTTTACTGTGATATTCATAATGAATGATTTCGAAGTCGTACATACCTTCGATATGAAATGATTTTCTAGTCTGGCCTATTAGTAACACTAAATTACGACTCCGATTCCAACTGTTTCTGACGATGTTACTGTTATGCTGTCGGAATCCGGTGTAGTCAGTGAAGTGAAGTGATGTGTTGTCTACTCTGTTTTGCTTTTGATAATGCAGCTTCGATGGCTAGTAAATAATACATACGACCGAACACACTCTTTTCCAGACTGCCTGCAATAGCCCACTGATTCAATGGAACACATTCATACCATCAGTTTGCGTTCCAATGTAGTGGTGTCAGTCTAATGTAGTAGAAAAGAGGTTTTGAACGAAGTTGATTGTTTCAGTATGTGTGAAAGTTGGGTTTCAATTTGCTAAACAGATCAAGAAACAGATGTAGAAAAAATCGATTTTATCACCAAAATGTATAATAATGTATTATATTACAATTACATTTACAATTACTATTACAATTCTTCATCTTCATCACATTTCATGTGCGATACTGTGTTGCTATACATCTTGAATCATTTTCATATAATCTTCATGATTGAAGAAAATGTTAGGGTTGGTTTATTTTTTTTTTTGGTTTGGCGGGATTTTTATCATCAACACGTGGTCTTGCACTTGGTGGTTGTGGATGAATCGGGTGAATAGACCAGAGACATTAGGTAGGTACCAGGGTTATTAATCGACACCTGTCGATAACGTCTGCAGTGCAAATTAGCCATTCCTCTTCATTTCTTTATTTAACGTCGGACTCGATGTCGGTCTCTGTTCCGCAATCTATTGCCAATCAGCGACGGACATCGATTGCCATCCATTGAACAGGAAGGCAGCTTTCACACCTGCGTAGGATATCGCACCCATTCAACACACATGGGTCGGGACCAATGGCTTTACTTCCCTTCCGAAGGAAGACGTGACCATAGATTTTTATGCCTCAGAAAAATTACACCGACCTCGGCTGGGATTGAATCTAGACCCATCAGGGTGAGAAAGCAGTCACGTTTACCACTACACCTTCGACGCCGCCTAAATTCACCATATAAATTTTTCCATGCCGGGGTTAACCTCAATCGGATGGCAGTTCAGTGGTAGGAGTAAAATGTACCAGTTGCAGAAATCAAGGTGTTTTCCCATTAAAATTAAAAGCAACAGTTAATGTCATATATTGTATATAGGGGAAAAGTTGGCTTCGGCAATACCTTAACCTATTATCGTCAGGGGGGTAAACAAAGTCCTAGAGCACTCAAATTTGGCCAAAAGTTGCTCTGAAACACAATATATCCACATGCCAAAATTGAGCTCTCAAGGACGTTGTTTACCCCCCTGACGATAATAGGTTAAGGTATTGCCGAAGCCAACTTTTCCCCTATATAAATGCAGTTTTGAAGCTTATTTGGAAGATACCTTGAGTTAAAGGGTGTCCACGATGAAATTGCCACACACAAAATTGATTCGCAAAATTCGAGTTTTCATCCGATTGCCATCAAATTATCAGGGATTGAGAAATAACTATTAAACTTCATTTTACCATTTTACTCGTATTTTATTTACAGTCCATACGCAAATGCCCGCACCTTGGCCTTAACCCCGGCCATAAGATTCTGCACAACCTGTGAATCAACCGTTTTTTGCATGTAAACCCATACTTTCTTCAGTTCCTCGATTGTCTTCACTACCTTAGGTCGTTTAAGAAGGTGCTGCTTCATAATCGCCCAGTACTTCTCGATGGGGCGGAGCTCCGGAGTGTTGGGAGGGTTGAACATTTTCGGCACGAAATTGACCTTATTGTCCGTATACCACTTCAGCACGTCCTTGGAGTAGTGGCATGAGGCCAAATCCGGCCAGAAGATTGTTGGGACGTTGTGGGCCTTCAGGAGAGGAAGCAGCCGCTTCTGGAGGCACTCTTTTATGTACACCTGTCCGTTCATCGTGTCCTGGGTCACGAAAGGTGCACTCCGCTTCCCGCACGTGCAGATGGCTTGCCAAACCAGGAATTTCTTCGCAAATTTGGACATCTTCTGAGTGCGGACATGCTCCGGAACGCTGAACTTATCCTTGGCCGTGAAAAACAGGTTGCCGGGGATCTGTTTGAAGTCGGCCTTCACATATGTTTCGTCGTCCATGATGCAGCATTCAACTTTCGTCAGCATGTTGAGGTACAACTTCCTGGCACGGGTTTTGGCGGACTTGTTCTGCTTTTCGTCGCGATTAGGGGCCTTTTGTACCTTGAACTTTCGAAGCCCAGCCTTAGTTTTGGCCTTCTGGACAAAACTTCGGCTTAGGTGCTGCTTCTTAGCCACATCCCTAACGGAGGCGTTCGGATTTCGGTTGAAGGCCCCAACTACGCGGTTGTGATTTTTGGTGTTGTACGGAATACTTTTTCCTTCACTTCTGGGCTGCCGATCGGTGGTCAACCGTTCCTCGAACCGCTTAATCACTCGCGACACCGTGGAATTCGCGATTCCCAACGTTTTAGCGATGGAACGATGCGAGAGATCCTTGTTCTCGTGATGAATGCGCAAGATTTTAGCACGCACGAGCTGTTCTTTCGACTCCATTTCCGCGAGTTTTGATCACAGGATGTAAATAATGCACTATGAACTAAATCCACCCAAATTTTCATTAAATTCTACCCAACGGTTAAAAAGTTAGAGCAATTTCATAGTGTGGCAATTTCATCGTGGACGCCCTTTAGTAGTAAGTTTTCTGGCAAATGTTGGGGGTTCGTGAGCATTCCTGACATTGTTGAAAATTATGATAGCATCAGATTGCGGGGTTACTAGTGTAATAGGATGATTTGTTGATTGTTCGTCAACTCTTGATTGCTTGTAATACTTATGAATATTTTAGGTAGACAAAAGGCGAACTAAGAGGTGGACGCCTGAGCTTTTCAATATTTATATCGCTGTGAAGCAACTGTAAACTCTGAAGGGAATTTATATCTGTAACTGAAACCAGTTCGATTTTGTTTACTAACCTGGTTAAAATGTCATATTTAATTATCCTAAAGATAAATCGTCCAGCTCAAACCTTTGTAGGGGTAAGAGCTGGAACCATCATCATCATAATGAGGCAAAATACACCCCAACAATGGAGCAATATGACTCTCCTTGCCGTCTTATAAATTATCATGTCCAATTGATGCAGAACGTCTTCGTTTTTGATTGCCTCCAGTTCCGATCGTAGTTGTTCTAAAACCCATGACCGCTAAGTAGACTTCGGAACGTTGCGGACGATTTCTGAACAAAGAATTGAACGTAAACAAGCTTGTTTACTGTTTGCCCCGAACTTAGGAGTGTATTTTGCCCTGAATGCATAAAGAAAATGATTGTGATCATACAATTTAAATGCATATTAAAACTTACCGGTATTTTATCTGAAAGATGTAGATGTATTAAGATGACGCTTAATAATGTTTGAATCGCTTAAAAATCTTAACAATGCGGTGTACAAAATTATACTATATCCAATGCAAATTGGTTTTTGCTTTTATTTACATTATCTGATAACATAGAGCTGCTAGAGCAGTGATGTAGTGGTATGCGTGATTACCTTTCACCTCAGCAAGCCTGGGTTCAATCCCAGTCGGCGCCACCCGGTATGTTCTGAGGCAACATAGATTTAACTAATTTGTTGTAAAAATGTATTTTAGGCTTGAAACAAAGGAAGTGCAGCTTTCCCCAATGGTGCATGTTACCCCAGGTACCCCTACTGTTTACGTGGACTTAGGCTCTGAACCATTTGGTGGATTTTTTTTAACTTTTGGTTAAAATTTGACAGATGAAAAGTTATTGAATAATCCTGCTATCCGAGCGTGGTTATTTCTGACCGACAAGAAGTTCAATTTTGACAACCGTGGCTGAGCTCTTCTCGAAAACCGGTAGATCGACATCACAGGGATTTTCGAAAATAGAGAATAACTTTCGAAATGTCACTTTTAACCACGAGTTAAACTTAACTCGGCAAATGGTTCACAGCATTAGTCGATTTTTTCTTGGGTACATTTTCGTCAGAAGGTGGATCAAGAGATTGCCCTTTTTCAGACTGCAGTGAGATGCAAACCACACTTTTGTATTGTCTGCAAGCAACATCCTTTCACCGCACATTTCATCGACAATTTTTAAATTTATATTCGGAAATTTTAAAATTATTTTTTGCTCAAACTTTCCTCACAAATTGCTCATTTATTTATAACTCTGCACTAGGGTGGGGCTTATTTTTAATAATCGTTCGGGGACATGTTTTCCCATGTGGAAAATGATTATGGGACCAGGCATGGAAAATCATTTACATTCATTTCATACATTGATTTACATTCATTTGTCTCTAACTTTTTTCATCAACAGTATTTCGCAAAATAATGTAGATAGCTTTTGTAGGTTTTCTTGTTAGCTACAACTTTTGCTCATAACTCAAATCTGTATCTCTTATAGCGTTAGCGTTAGCGTTAGCGTTAGCGTTAGCGTTAGCGTTAGCGTTAGCGTTAGCGTTGTTATGATATACTTCGTAGATTGGATACTAGCGACACTCACGTCTCTTCTGAAATTCTCAGTTAGACTACTTTCAGGAATAATGTTGGGGAGTAAACATTGGTTCCAATCTAAACAAGAGTAACAGAAGCATGACTGCCGCTATTCCCGGCCACGCCCATCTTTACCATAACTAGGGATAGGGAAGGAAATGTTGATGTAGTACTTACTTAACGAGAGGCCACCGACTTAGCGACACCCTCATAAGTGCTACGGAGTTGGAGGGTTGGGTAGGGTATTCGGTTAGGATTCACCTCAAGTTGGCGATGCAACCAAAAGTATGTATTGTTTATTTGTTGTTTATTTAATCTCTCGATAGCCGGCTATCGAAAGAACATATTCATTTTGTTTAGTGATCATGAATTTTAAGAGTCATGACGGAGAGCTTGGGATTAAACCCATGATTTTCTGCTCAGTAAGCAAAAACGATCCCTCCAGGGTCATCGAGCATCTCAGAACCATAACGCTTCTCGACAATACAGGACTACGTTTTCGCTTGATATGCAAATAGTTTCCGAGGTTAATGTTTAATATCAAATATACAAATGATGGTGGCGATTTATTGTGCTGTGGAAGAGCTTGGAGTTAAGTCCATGATTTTCTGCTCAGTAAGCAAAATCGATCCCTCCAGGGTCATCAAGCATCTCATAATCCACAGCGCTTCGCGTCAAAGTACGAATATATGGATGAACTATCTATTATTGAATAACTATTATTTACGATAATTACATGAAAGAAATAAAAAATAAACTACAAACAAAACGTGACAACTAAAATCTCAAAAAGATATTCTCACAAATTTATTTCACGCAACTAGGAATCTCAAAACAATTAGACGCTATAATGATACTCTGCACTTGTTAGACACAAGAAGAGGTCAAAAAGCAAGCGTCCGACACACAAAACCCGCCAGATCCACTTTCAGTCATAATCAACGATTGTACGAATCGCGAGCGCTCACGAATCATAAAACCGCTGACTGCGACACTCTGAAAGCGAAATTGACAGGCTCCGAATTCAAAACTCCGAAAATCACTCATCTATAGCTAGTGAGTGGAAGCAACCATTCTTCATGATACACTTTTTCTGTCTATCTTTCTATTAGGCCTGTGGATATGCGTTAGCTTCGAAACTTCTAACCAAATTGGGAAATTTTTCAAATCAGGAAAAAAAAAAAAAAGGTAATTACAAGTACAATAAATATTGATTAATTTACGCAAAAACGAGCAAGTAATATTAAATCTCTTGTATCGTATGCTAATGCTAATTGACTGTAACAAAAATAATATGCTTAAATAAAATAAAATATTAATAAAATTATATGCAAAATTAACTAGAAGATCATTACTTTATTGGTGAGAAGTTTCTAATAAGCCCTCCCAGTTCCTCTGTATACAGAACAAATCTGATACTATAATCAGAATTGCTCAGTCTGCATGAAGCAGCCGATTTCATCAAGGAAGTTCTATTAACAACCAAGAATTAATCGTTTGAGGTATACTGAAGCAGTAACTCAAATCTGTATCTCTTATGCATCACAAATTAGATCGGGCAGAACTTGAAAAAATAATTTTAAATACATTCACTGAAAAACAGTAGTGGCTTCTGTTCGCTCTAGTTCGTCATGCATCAAAGATATGGGTTTGACTTGTTAACAAAAGTTGTAGTTGATAAAAAAAAACTACAAAAGCTATATACATCATTGTGCGGAATGCTGTTGAAGAAAAAAGTTAGAGGCAAATGAATGTAAATGAATGCACGAAATTAATGCAAATGATTTTCCATGCCTGATTGGGACTAATTAAGTAGCATATTTATTTATTTATTTATTTGTCTGCATCAACAGGCTGTGTAAAGCCCCAATGATGATTTAAGTAACTTATATAGGTAAAAATCAAATCAAAAAATAAAAACTAAGAATAAAATACATAAATAAAACACACAATCATTCACGGTTAACTGTGCCAGAAAAGAACGATGAGAAGTATCTTCGTAGCAGCTGTCGAGGCATATGGAAATCGAAGATGCCCGAGACTCGATTGAACACTCGTTGCAGCCCACCTATTGCACCGTTCATGCCATAGTTTGTGCGCTGAAGTGGCAATCTCAGCATAACGTTGTTACGTAGCGCACGGGGTTGGACGTTAATGTTGACTTGCCCCAAGATTGCACTGCAATCAATTCTACCTTGTAAAGTGTCCGCAATGAACAGGGCCCTAGAGGTGTCTCTTCTAGTTCGGAGAGGCTCCAGATCAATCAGCTGGCAACGACTTTCATAGCTGGGCAGATGAAATGGGTCTCTCCAAGGCAGCTTCCGCAGAGCGAATCGAAGAAAACGGCGTTGAACGGACTCAACTCTCTCAGCACCATTGTTGTAGTTTGGACTCCAGACCACAGAACAATATTCCAGAATGGATCGCACTAAGGAACAGTACAGTGACTTCAAACAGTAGATATCGGAGAAATTCTTTGCTATCCTGAAGATAAATCCCAACGTCCTAGACGCCTTGTCGACAACGTACGAGATGTGCTGCTTGTACGTAAGTTGAGAATCTAGAATAACACCCAGATCTTTCACATGGTTCACACGGTCGATTACAGTGCCGATAAGTTTGTATTCAAATGTGATTGGTTCTTTCTTCCGAGTAAAAGTGATCACTGAACACTTAGTGGGGTTAACCACCATTCGGTTCAAATTACACCAGCTGGCAAAGGCTTCGAACTGACGTTGAAGGAAGTGACAGTCATCAATCGAGTGGATTCGTAGGTAGATTTTAAGATCGTCTGCATACGATAGTCGTGGACCTTCGATGACCAAGTTCACGTCATTGAAGTAGAGTAAGAAAATCAAAGGTCCCAGGTGACTTCCTTGAGGTATTCCTGACGTAGCTAGATATATATTGGACCGGTTGTCACCAATGGCAACCATCAGTTGCCGATCAGTGAGATATGAACGAAACCATCGCAAGAGGTTGCCGCTGACCCCAAGTCTATGCAACTTGGCAATCGCGATGGCATGGTTTAGCTTATCGAAGGCAGCTGACAAGTCGGTGTATATGACGTCTGTTTGAGTCCTCTCTGCCATGCTTTCCGTAAGATACGATGTCAAACACAGCAGATTTGTGGAAGTAGAACGACCGGAAGTGAAGCCGTGTTGATCACCACTTAGATACTGCTTACAATGAGAGAGTAGAGGCTCCATGATGACTAACTCGAATAACTTCGAAACTGCGCTCAACGACGTAATTCCACGATAATTGTCCACATCCCGTTTGCTGCCCTTTTTGTGGATAGGAAACATATGTGCGAATTTCCAACAAGATGGAAATGTACCACTCGATATGGACAATCGAAATAGGTGAAGCATGGGCATCAGCAAGCTGGCGATATGCTTTTTCAGGAATACGGATGGAACGCCATCGGGTCCTGGATTGAAGGACGACTTGAGTTGTGATGCGGCAGTGGAAATCATCTCGACGTTGACATCCATCGCACCCAGTGTTTGACCGTACAGTGGAACATTACTAGCTGCTAGGGTAACGTGTTCGTCAGTTAATCCCTCATTCGTGAAAACACTGGCGAACTTCTCAGAAAACAAGCGACAGATCTGCTGAGAAGTGGATGCAACTGCTCCATTCAACACCATTGAAGAAGGTAGGCCGGATTCCTTGCGCTGCTCATTTACGTAATTCCAGAATGACTTCGGGTGCGACTTGAGTTTCCTCTGAATCCCTCGTTGATATCGCGAATAGCATCGACGGCTAACTCGCTTGAACTCATAATTGAGCCTAACGTAGTGACGTTTCAGCGAAAGCGTACGATACTTAGTGAATTTTTTAATGCGGCTCTCTTGGTCGACTTCAACCTACGCAGTTCACTCGTCTGCCAGGGAGGATGAGAAATTTTACGGTGAACTCTTTTCGGAACGTGCCTGTCAATGACATAAGCCAAGACATGTGAAAATGTATAAGCATATAAAAAATTGAGCATTTTCCGTTAACATTTAGAGGTAGCGTCCAAAATATCGAACGATGAGCTTTTTCAAATAAAACATATGCTCCTAAACACGTGATTTTTTGTTCATTTTACGATATATTCACTCGTTCTCGAGATATATGGCATTGCGATAATCCCGCATATAGACTTACGCTTACATATTGATATCCCAACAAACTATTTCCTATTGAAGAAACGAATTCTTAACGAATTCATTCAACTGCATGCACAATAATACTTGTACTATTTTTAATAATAATTTCTGTTCAGCCACAACATTGAACTACTTGAAGTTGTATAAGGTATTTCGAGAAGCTTTCATTCGACTTACATGAGTTGTAACAGAGTTTATTCGATCAATTTTTCGACTAACAGTTTATTATTAATGCTTATGCTTACTTGGGTAATAACAAAATTCACCTAACTCTGAGCATTTTCTTATGTTTGAGATGCTTAAATTTATGACATCCGGACGCTATGTGATTTCATTACAAAAAGCATGAACAAAGGATCATTGCTTGTACAAATGCAGTAAGCTTTAAAGGCTCCCCCAATCACGGTCTCAATCGTTGCTATGAAAAAATATAATCAAATTTATTGTTTCACCATTTAAATAAAAGTAAGTGAGCTGAAAGAAGCTGGGAATGTCTTTAAAAAAAAAAAAAAAAAAAAAAAAAAAAAAAAAAAAAAAAAAAGAATGTCTTAACATGGCCGTATTTGGCTTGGAAATGCTCATACCCAACTTCTTAATCGAAACAAAACCATTAACGTGGAAAACCTGTTGCTTCAACGATTGTAGGCATATAGTTACCATACGAGTTGTGTGCAATAATAACGCTTGCAACGTGAGCAGCATTGATGCTTTAGAATCCTTTTATCCTGTAACCACTTCGTTAGCATTGGCGCGTTTCGTTGTTTGCCTTTCGACACAAACCAGTACTCTACACAACGAACTCTCCTCAATCATTTTCACATTCATTGCGGATCCCTTCATTCAAGAATCATTAGGTATACAGTGTAGAAACGCAAGAGAGCGCCATTCGAGAGAATATGTATGCTCGCTCCTATGGTTTCTTGTGCCAAATGGGTATAGGGTAATTTCACCGCTTGAAGTCCCAAGACCGAACAACAGTTGCACGCGAGCACTGCTAGAGTACGGTTACGTCCTGGAGTAGTCTCACGATAGGAAGAAAGTGCTTCTATATCAGTAGTGTAGTTTCCCCTCCGTTTCACGGTTGGGTGGTTGTTCTCAGCAAATCAACCGGTCTTTCTTTGCCGCTGATAACCGTCTGTGAGAGTTTGAATTTTTGAATATTATGTCTAGCCTGGTGAATGGTGATTTTTGAATCAAGTAGAATTAACCGAATGCGTCACAGTTATGCCGACCTGATTGCTGAATGGCACAAAGTGGAGGGTAATCATACTATCATCTCATATTCTGATTACTTTCCTAATCGAATTAAAGGAAGAAGTTGGAAGTGTAAAACTACGACAACGGCTTATGGCAGAGCAGGGTCAAGAGCAAATGCTGTGTAGATCCAAGTTAATCAATTTTCTCCTAGTCATAAAGTTGAACAGAGTGCATGACAGTGAACTGCAGTAGTGTGTCTATCCTTAGGAAGAGAGTAAGAAAAGTGTTATTACATCCCCATCATCAGTAGCAGCTCTACTAGCAGGACGCTATAAAGTGTGATTAGCTTCAAGGTCTCGTATCTGCCACAATCCATCATCATCAGCTAAGATCACACAGTGCTATCGGTAATTGAAAAGGATAAAAATTGTATTGAATTTCACCAAGTGATAGTGCTTTTCCTAACGGGAACAACGTGGGATACGAGAAACCAGAGGGAATGAGCCCTTGAGTGGTTCTTGAATTCCCCGTATGAAAGGTAAGAAGAATCTTAAAAAAAGGGGTTCTTAACCGGTAGATCAGTAAACAATTGTATATGTGTGCATAAATTATAAAAGCCATCCAGATCAGACCATAGAACTAAGACTGCAATCTGTTTACTTTTCCAAAGTGATTGACGTAATGTGCATTGAAAAGCCGTACAGCGATTCGAATTCGCTTTTTTCGAGCTCAATTTCATCGGTCGGTCACGGATTTCTGAAAATAGATTCAAGCATCTACTACACCTATTTGCAATGCTTTTTTTGCGCTTATCCACTGATATAATTAGTAGTGGGGTTGACAAAGACTGATTGATGTTCTCATTAAAATTGTAAGGGTATGTTATTCGGTTCACTCGCAGTTGTACATAATTTTCTCCCGAGACAGGTGATGATGATCAACAGAATCACGGTGTGTTTGTTTAATTACGCCGTTTTCTATATGACCATGATGCTGTTCTGCAAGCACTCGCCAGCGGAAATTTACTCTTGAATAGTTTATCCGCTCACCTTAAGTATATAATAAGAAATGGAAAATACTGTGCGATACTGTTGATCTGGTAATATCCGGCTGCTGGGAAAAAAAAACGAGTGACTTGTGTTTACATATTCCATACTATGTTAGTGTATGGTACGTTCTTTTTGATGGTTTACGCTAAAAGTAGTAACACAAGTGGTTTATTTTTCTCAAATATCAAACAATAATAATAAATTAAATTTAAAAAAATAAACCAACTCATAGCATTAGCAATGATATGAATGTACGATTTTTGGTTTTTCTAAGTATTAATTACAAGTAATTTCCAATTAAAAATAACCACCCAATGGCATTATTATAAAACGTATTGACGTACTGGATGCACATAACGTATCAGCACAGACAAACAGATATAAAACTCGCAAGTTGTTCATCGACCGCCACCAGTGGCACGCATGATTCTATTCCTTTGCGTTTGACGTTTACACACTACCGCCATCTATTAAGCGTACTACCCGTCACAGTGTACTCAACAGAAGGTGGTAGTGTTCTAAGTAACGATGTTTTACAGTGAGAAATATTAAATGTGTTATGTATGTTTGTCTGTGGTATCAGTGTTACTGTTATGGAGGGAGGATATTTCATTTGCTATAGAGCGTTTTTAGATGCATTCAGTGGAAACTTGTGATTTAAATACGAAAAGGACCACCCTAATGAAAAATATGTGATCATTTCTACGAACGTATTATATGCTAGTGAATATTTAAAATGATAAACAAGTAGTTTTGAGCTAGTGGTGAACATATTCCATATTTTGCCTCCCACATGTTTTCATTATTCTAAGTCCAAGAAAGTCGATGTTTGACAATGTTTTTTGTTTTAGATAACACCAGCAGAGGTGGTAACGAGACTTTTTTTTTTTTACAATAATGACGCGACATTTTTTCCCTAGGGTTAACTACCCCATTTCCGGCCTATTAAGCATAACCCGTACTTAGTCTTTCTTAATCTAGTTAAGTTTAGCACCAAACGGAATGTTATTATTACTGATGGCTTCCAAATGTATTTACCGTATGTACGTACCGTAAGATTTGAAAACGACGCCAAACTCGGCCTATGAATTTTAAACTCAGCCTAACGCATTGAAACGCCATTGAAACGCCAATGAATTCACTTCGGCCTATCGGATGAAGATAAAAATTGATTCGGTCGGAGCGCTTCTTTTGTTTTTGGATATAATGGTTTCAAACCTTCATACCACGCGTTCTCATTGACTTCGTTCGGTAGCTTATTAACTAAAGTATCGTACCAAACGCATAATTGACTTGTTAACTCTGAAATCATGGATTTATTTGAAGTTTTCTGCTCGATAGGCCCAAAATGGGCGATTAGGTCGAAGTAGTTCTCTACCCTATACCATTTCTATGACATTTAACACCTCTGAACACCATCTGGCATCAAAAAACAATTTTCGAAAACCGAAATTTCATGTATCAAAACTCAAACTTTGACGATTTTGCGCCAACCCTAAATCATGCCCTATTGAGTCCAAGTTTGGCGCAGGGTCTTATTTTGGGGCAATAAACTTTTTGTATATGATCGGTTTTGGAAATTCTAGATAACCATTTTCATTGGCACCCTAAGGTAGGGTTCAGATCTAATTTGGGCCTACCAAGAATAATCTTCTCTTTACCTCTCTTTTTTCAGAGGATTTTTACAAAAAATAATGTTTCTACTATAGATGACTTTTAAATGAGTTTACCATTCCGTTAGATTTGATAATAAGTCACAAATTTTTAAGACATTGTTAAAAATCGAACACTGATTGATTATAAATTCGCCGTACGAGTATCAATTTCATTCTAACGCATTGCGATGCCATTGGATTTTCATCGTCCTACAGGTGAAGGTGAAAATGGAATGGAAAAATGGATTCGCACTCCAAGTATTTTGTTTTGAGAAAAAAAATGGGGAACGACAATCATTCAGATGCATTTTATTAAAAAAAAAACTCGGCAGCGCTGCTATGGAATGCAAGTGGGATTGAAAGAATAGATCGAATTAGACTTAAGGATAAACAGGGATGTACAGTATATTTAAAAAAAAAAACAGGGATGCATAAAAATAGAAAAGGGGTGTCTGGTATAGAAAAAAATAAATCTGAATTTTTTTTCGTTGATGTGGATTACAATGCGGATTTGAGGATAAAATTGATGAGGGATGAGGATGTGTCATTTCCACTGGTGTGAATATTCATAGTGAGGTGACTAGACCGATGTAATTTTTTACCCTAATAGGAATGGCAGATAGTTCCGCTGGAGTACGGCACACGGCGAATGAGAAGGACCCAAACTTGAGTTTAGTTCACTCATAATCGCCAAAAGTGCAGGAACTCAGCGATGAGTAAATGTGTCTCATGGTTTCCTGTGGAAAACCTAAAAAATCTGCCGGAAAATGAGGAAATTGACGAAAATTTTATTCAGTCTCGGAGTAGTTTCAATAGACTGAGGGAATCCGATCATTACTTTTCTCAAATTCGGGAATTTTTCCGTGGAAAATCCTGGAAAAACCTGGGAAACATGAGACTAATTTTACTCATCGCTGAGTTCCTGCACTTTTGGCGATTATGAGTGAACCAAACACAAATTTAGGTTGTTCTCATTTGCCGTGCAGTATCAGTCCGCATCGTGCTCTCATGCCGTGCGGATCTATTTGCTTTTTGTTGAAGGAAGTGTTACTGCTACCTAAATCTACAACAAATTTAAACAGCAGGAAATCGATTTGAAGGAGCTTGGTTCTGCCGCCATGGCGCCTAACTTACTTACTTAACGATCCTGCGCACCTCCAGGGGTGCAAAGGGCATTTGTGAAAGATTTCCATCCTGGGCGATTACTAGCGTTGGCCTTGACCTGTGCCCAAGTCAAATTTCGGTCAACGTTCTTAACTTCACTGTTTAGGCTCCGCCGCCACGAGCCTCTGGGTCTGCCTCTGCTGCGATGTCCTGCTGGATTCCAGTCCAGTGCTTGCTTGCAGATTTCTTTTCTGCTCCGTCGTAGTGCGTAGCCAACCCACCTCCACTTCCGTTCATCAATTTCTGTCTCTATCGGCTTCTGATGGCACAAACAATGAAGCTCGGAATTTGAGATCCAATTGTGGGGCCACCAGGCACGAATTATGTACCGCAGGCATTGGTTGATAAACACCTGCAGCTTCTGAGTGTTCTCCGCTGATACACACCATGTTTCACTGGCGTATAACAGCACAGACTTCACGTTCGAGTTAAAAATTAGGATTTCGCAAAGTGGCAAAAGCAGCCCTCGCCTTCTTAATCCGTGCACCTATGTCGCTCTTGGTGCCGCCGTCCGACGCTATCTGGCTGCCAAGATATTGGAAGCTTTCGACTTTCTCCACTAAACTGCGCAGCTACCGTGAAATTGGAACGGTTTTCCGTGTTGATATCTAACGATTTGGTCTAGTTGACGTTGATGGTTAGACCTGCTTCAGAGGAGCGTTCCACAAGGTCGTCGAGATTACTCTGCATGTCAGAGCACCGTTGTGCTAATAACGCAACATCATCAGCCAAATCGAAGTCGTTGAGATGCTCCATGGTAATAGCCACAGCAAGCCACTGTTCGGTACACGGGCAACGGCTCCAACCATGATTTCGTCGATTACGATGAGGAACAGTAGTGGTGATAATATACATCCTTGCCTCACACCCGCGATTACCCGAACAGGGTCAGACAAAGCTCCGTTGTGCAACACTCTGCATGAGAAAGCCTCGTACTGCGCTTCGATGAGGTTGACGATCTTATCAGGGACTCCCTTGCGTCTCAGAGCGTCCCACAACTTTTTGTGGTTTAGTCGGTCGAAAGATTTTTCGTAGTCAATGAATACCAAGTACAGGGACTCTTGGAACTCATCGACCTGCTCCAAGATGATGCGGAGCTTGTCAATATGATCCACACAGGATCTTCCAGCACGGAATCCTGCCTACTGTCGTCGGAGAGTCGCGTCGATCTTCTCCTGTACCCGATTGAGGATAACTTTACACAGAACTTTGAGAACAATACACAGTAACATGATACCTCGCCAGTTGTCGCATACAGTTGGATCCCCATTCTTGGGGACTTTTACCAAGACACCCTGCATCCAGTTGGTCGGAAAAGTCACGGTGTCCCAGATATTGATGCAACATTTGTGAGGATAGCATGGGGTCAGCTTTGAACATCTCTGGTGATATGTGATCGACCCCCGGGACTTTGTTGGACTTCATACTTTGGATGGCTGCTTCTTTCTCTTGCAATGATGGAGCTTAAATGTTGACGCGAGTAATGCGCTTCACCCTTGGCGGATCATGCCGAGATGTTGATGGTTGGTTGACCGTTGAAATTTCGGGAAGTTGTTCAAAGTGCTCAAACCAACGTTTCAACTGGTCAGTGGGGTCGGTGAGCAACTGTTCAGTCGCGTCTTTCACAGGCATCCTTGCCCCGCTCAGGCGTCGTGAAACATCATAGAGGA